GAGACCAGCCGTATATTGCCAGAAAATGATGCGCGATCTGGTAATGCACCCGCGGCAAACACTGCAGCAAAAGAGCGTCCTTTGCTGCAAGGATTAAAATCTATGCTTTTTCAAAATCAGCAGTAGACACAAGTAGCGTATACACTACAGAAGGCGTGAATGAAAATCCTGTAGTGATCCCATATTGTTTTTAAGTAAGTACCCATAAAAAATTCCAGAAAGGAAGGAAAGCAATGTGGAAAAAAGGCGGAAATGCACCAGATGACTCAAAATAGACCCGTGACATTCATTCACATCGAAGCTTATAAGCGAGAAAATCTGCGCTTGAATGTCTCCATTATTGCTCTTATCCTGACAAAGTTCCAGAAGCATGTCCTATAAAAAGAACCATCATATCTACGACCAGTATACTGACGTTTACTTTTGAAGGATATCCTCAAATTAAGCTCAGTGAACGTTCGATGATGAAACAAGCTACTTTACCTGTGATGTAACACCTAGCAAACTTGTTCACACGATTAGTATTATCACTTATTTTTGATATGCAAACACAAGTCAGCGACTGTGACTTTAGGAATTCCCAGTCCAATAACCGCGACCGTCAACGCTGTTGTGCAGACTTTCACCCCGAGCAACCACCAGCTCTTCCTTGGTGTTTACGAATGCGCCGTTGACTCGGATCGGAAGGCTGAACAATTTTGCCAAATGCGGAATCGTTGGCCACATTGCGTAGTATTCGGCACTGAGTAGAAAGGTGCTTTTCCATACGCGTTCTCCGCTGCATCGGGATTGTTGCAATCAGAATTGAGATACCAAGTCCCCCATGTTGTTTACCGACGTGGATGTAGCTGATCGGGTTGTCCTTCGGTAGACGTGGCCAGCTACGAATATATTGCCTGATGTAGTTGTCCAATCTTTTGAGCGTGTTTTGGTTAGCTTGGCCGAGCACAAGCGAGTATGTCAGCCTCGGTATCAGGTAGTTCCTTGTGATCTCGATTCTTTGATGCGGCTTCAACGAGGAACGCGCTCATTCATCGAGTAGTTTGAGCAGGTGCTGTCGGTGGTTGGAGAACCCTTTCTCCTCGAAAGTAAAGTGGATGCCTAAATATGTTACGATATCTGTCGGACTCAGAGGAGTTACGAGTTCCTCGGCGAAGCGAACTGGTTCAAATGAGACTGCTACCGCCGACGTTCCCTGTCTCCACGATTCATCATCACTTTCGTCTTTCGGACGTTTATTTTCATACCAGCTCTTCCCAACTCCAACGCAACAGCTTCGAGCTCTCTTTTAAGGTGAGCCTGACTTTCTGCACACACGACCCAGTCGTCAACGAAGGCAAAACCATCTACTAGGGTGTCATGGAACTGGTACCCCATTAGTGGCATCGACAATCCAAGGACCTCATCCATTGCCACCATGAATAATAATGGGGAGATTGGATCCCCTTGCCTCACACCTCTGTGGCAGTGAACCTCGGAACTGGGAAAAACTGCTACAGCATTCTCATAGGACTGTGCGATGTATGGAACTAGAGGTGACGGGGCTCCAAACGCCTCGGCAAATCTGACGATTTTTTCATGCGAAACCGAAACTAACGCTTTCGAGGCATCAACGGACGCTAAGCTGAGGTTAGAAGCAGTCGCTGAACAGGGAAGAAGCAGGGAATGCAACAGGGATTTGGCTTCCAAACAGCCGTCTCG